CAGTTTATAATGATACAGATATTGATAGTGTTTGACTGTAGTATGTTGTCTAGGTCAGTAATAATATAGATATTGATAGTGTATGATTGTAGTATGTAGTAGAGATCAGTAATGATACAGATATTTATAGTGTTTGACTGTAGTATATAGTAGAGTTTAATAATGATACATATATTGATACTTTTTGATTGTAGTATGTAGTAGAGGTCAGTAATGATACATACATTGATAGTGTTTAACTGTAGTTTGTAGTAGAGGTTAATAATGATACAGATATTGATAGTGTTTGACTGTAGCATGTAGTCTAGGTCAGTAATGATACAGATATTGACAGTGTCTGACTGTAGTATGTTGTCTAGGTCAGTAATAATATAGATATTGATAGTGTATGATTGTAGTATGTAGTCTAGGTCAGTAATGATACAGATATTGATAGTATTTGACTGTAGTATGTTGTCTAGGTCAGTAATAATACAGATATTGATAGTGTTTGACTGTAGTATGTAGTAGAGTTTAATAATGATACAGATATTGATAGTGTTTGACTGTAGTATGTAGTAGAGTTTAGTAATGATACAGATATTGATAGTGTCTGACTGTAGTACGTAGTCAAGGTCAGTAATAATACAGATATTGATAGTGTTTGATTGTAGTATGTAGTAGAGGTCAGTAATGATACATACATTAGAAATACACTAGAAATAGAACGCTTTTAAAAAAAACAAGGAAAATAACTAATTACATATTTTTCAACACTTTTAATGAGGTTTCTAAATGATTTTTATGAAGTTTTATGTAAATTTATGTAAATTTATCAATAATTGTGCCTTTTACATTTACTAGCTAAAGAACAAGTTATATTGTGTTAGGGTTCATCGTTCGGTGATAAACAATTTCACCAAGTTTTGTCCAAATCGTTAAGAATTGTGCCTTCTTGAGTATTTACAAGCTACAGACTGAACGCATTTCCATAACAATCAAAACATTGTAAATCTTATGATTTTTCATTCATAATAATCACTTATATGATAATATACTAATCAAATTAGATGCTCCGTAGGAAGATTTTGTTGTTTTCCTTGCAACAACAGTCCAAATATAAGAACAGTGTCGACAAATCTTACGATAATCATAGGCCGCCAAAATGCCTGAAAACCGATATTAAATATATGGCGGATATTTTCCTTCGTTAGGGATATTAAAATGCTTATTTTAGTGAGCTAACAATGTGAAATGCGCACAATATAATATTATATATATAATATAATTTATATTTTTGAAACTTAAAAAGTGTGATTTTTTGAAATATTAAATAAAATTGGATGAAATCCAACAAATGAAAAAAAAAAACCTGGTAAAATTTAAATACATGTACCACGTTTTTTCTCCATAGACTAACATGGTGACATTGGCCTAATTTAACAAGTTACCACGCCGTGGTATATAGCTGTAAGGGTACTTATGATTATTTACCACGCTTACCACGTTAGTGGTAAATAGCCACTGCCACTAGAAACTGGTGGCATTAATTGCTAGATAAAGTTACACTAAGCGAGCCGACGACTGAAAAATTTCAGTTCTCTTACTTTTTTAACCAAATCCGATACTTGCAAGTACCGGTCAGTCGAAACTGGGAATATATGTTTGGTGCTTTTGACGCTTTTTACATCTCTCAACTCTTAGTGACCATAGAATGTTATTGAAAAATCTTTCATCTAGCTTTTACATTGGTGTTTTATTTCAGGATATTCAACCAGACGAATGTTTTAGTCAGAGTACCCAACACATTCTTGATCCTCGGTGGAATTGTGTTTGTTCTTCAAGTTATTGGAATTATTTTGACGTTTCCACCACCAATGATTGACTATGTAAGAATTAAAACTGATTTCAAATAAACCTTTCAGATATACCAAAAACATATTGTTTGTTGCTGGCCTCTGACGAATGAAATGAATATTATTGGATTCTCCGAAAAGCATGTCGAGTTGAAAAACCCAATCGCGGAGTGTGTGTTCCAAGCTACTATAGTAGTTAAAGCACTAAACTTTCTCGGAGTAATTCCTGGTTTAATTTGTTGTGGTCAAGGTTGTCGCTCAAACTTTCTGTGTTCCTACAGAATATGCTTAATTTGGAGAGGTTGGAAACTTCAATAAACAATTTACATTTCAGGAAGATTTGGATTTAGTAACAAATTCGTCCAGGTACGTGGTCTATACTTTAACCCAACTGTAAAAACTGGAAGATGTGCAGAATTTGGATATTGCAGCATAGATTTTACACATTACAGGGTGCCCCGAACAGATGAGTCTTATTGAACTTAATCCCAGCGTGACGAGTATTTTCCGTAATACAATGGCGTATTTTCTAAAATAAAACTACCATGGGTGCTATAATATTACCTCAGAAACATTAAAGTTTATTCGACGTTTAAGGACAATTATAAAATTTCAATGCCATATTATAAACTCAATATTTCAGCCGTAAAGAAGCTGACAATAAGAAACCACTAGAGATAATAAAAGACCCAGGTGGAATATTATTGTGGTCTGTAACATTTCTTACTATACTAATATTTTGGGGTGTTCAGTTGATTTATAAGGTAGGCTTACGTTTGATGATCTATGTCTTTGTTCCATATTAAAAGTGTCTTTTCTATAGTTTTTATTTACATGAGAAGTTCATACTTCAATGGGCTCTCACTGCATAGAGATCACCAGTTGTGTGTGGTTGTGAATAAGAATAGCGGTCATAAGTTTCGAAAGCAAATTTCATAAAACTGCGTTGTGGGTTCCGTTTGGTACTCATGACCATGGTAAATGCTATGATGTAAAGGCACCTATATATAGAATAATTAAGATGAAGTCTATCCAAACCATTTACCAAAATCGAAGTCGTAGGTCACTAACTGACAAATATAAAATAAATTTTATATTGAGCAAATCAGACATCCAGTGCGAAGGAATTATCACAGCTAAAGCATCTTCAAATGTCACGGCCAATTGCGTACAATCCAATGAAATAGCTGCATTAAAAAAACTCACGTGGAACAAGAAAAGTGCCCAAAGGCGTCGAGGTATAAGACGAACCAAGAAGTCCCTCAATTACAACGTTATAAACTTTTTATACTACCAATACTACAGATCTAATGATCTTCGAAGGGAACTCACATGGGATATTCTGTCATCTACATCATACTTATCACCAAACCAAGCCCAGTTCAGCATATTATTGATGATGGAATATCTCACATTTTTTTCAGAATTTTGGTCAGACATTTATATCTGATGACCATTTTCTATCGGCGATTGGAACTTCAGGATGTGTTGTGTCGGCTGTTTATAGAGTTATTCTTTCACTGCTAGCAGATAAAATAGGGACGAAGGTAATAAACTAAATTCATAAAACATATTTCACATATTGAGCCGATTCTAAAAAAAATCCACGAGTTTCTGCATGTCTTGATCTCTTTTTATATTGTTAAGATACTGCTGCATATTTGGGTTGTAGGTCAGAATGTTGGAATTCTCACATGATGTCAAATACTTCGTTTTTTCTCATTTCGGTAGGTGTTTGACATCCCGGTCACTTTGCTTTCCCTGACAAACCCATGATTTTCTTGGGTAACCAAATGAAAAAAAGTATGCTGGAAACGTCCATCAAGACTAAACTAATCAATTCTGTTCTATTTCAGTTGATGTATTCAATAAACATGCTGCTGTGTTCTGTATTCCTCTTTACTTTGTATGAAATCCGCCATCTTGATAAAACCTGGTATTTTATTTGGATAACATTTCTATTTTGTGTAGTATCCATACCTTTTGTTCTTATTCCAAGTATGGTTCGCTTTATGTACGGTTCCGAACATTTTTCTGCTAACTTTGGACTTATTTGGTCTGGAACGGTGGGTATACTCATTATGTTGAGTTTTTGTAATTTGCAGAGTCTACATGGACTGATGGACCTTAACTATGGCCTTGTGAACTAAGAGGTTCTTATCTCAAGACCATTTCCTCTTTAAAAAAAAGTAATTTTGTCCTGATTCGTCTCAATTATTTGCCTTAACCTAGTTAAACGCCGGATTTTGTTTCCGAAAATTGCTATGGAGAGCCAATCGATCTCGATCAGCTGGTAAAACAAAGATGTTATCTGCCCAAGACGAAGTAAAATCGGCAATAATTTTATATTCCAGGGTATAGTCGGGTTTATTTTCCCATTAATTATTGGCTTATTGAAAGATATAGGCTGGGAGAATACAATTTTTATACTTGCTGGACTTTCTACTCTCGGTAAGCTCAATCTCTCATCAAAACTTTATCAAACATTAGGCAAACCCGAGCTAATATTCAAAATCTAATTGTTGCGGTACAACTACGATTAAATTGCATTTGCATATACAAAGAATTGACAAAAAAATGGATAGAAATTTTAGGACTAACATATCGACAGTGAAATGACAAACTTATTCTCTTGGGTGTTCTCGACAGATGATTTGATATCACCAGTGACACTCGATAATGATTTGAAGCTGAGGCAAAATGATGTTTAACGAACTCCATTTAATATTTCTTTTTGCAGGATTTGCGTGTTCGGGTTTACTCAGATTGCCTTGGCTGCCATTCAGAAATAAACCACACCCTCATCTAGACCTTAATTCAATGGACGACAAGAAGTAAGACAGTATGTCTGCTGTTCTGTAAGCAGTTCGGTGCAGGGCCTGGTCGTCTTTCAAGCAAATATATATATCGTTCAGCAAAGACGTTTCTCATATTTCAGTCTGATGTCAAAAGTTAATTCCCAACAAGGAAAACCGACATATCAGCGTAATAAAAGTGCCCTATCAATGAACGGATTCGTGAGTGACAAAACGCAGCAGTATATAAAATTTACAGTCGTTGTTACCAAATGGGTACAAAGTTAATCTATTGCGATTTAAAATGTTTTTATGTCGACTCAATATTCCCATTCCTATCAAGCATAGGCCTATTTGATTATATTATTTACTAACTTTAAATGCAAGCTGTCCTGTTTTTTTTCATATACATTCATAACTTTTGGTGAAGTTGGCATGAGGATTTATCGATATAAAAGCTGAAGGTATACCAAAGCAAATACTTCTTCCCTTTGTATATTATATTCGCTCATTGATTATGTTCCCTCGTGGAGGCGATGTACACTCTTAACCAATGAAAGAAAGATATCTTCTTGTTATTTAAAACATAATGTACGAGTTTTACTACCTCAGGAGGTTACTGAAGGTAAGGTATACCATGTTTAGAAACATGCAGGAAGGGTATGATTGTTACAAAGAACATGGAATTTAATAGCAATGTAACTATTTGACAACCTTTACTAGCAATGTCACTGAATCATTCAATACACTTTATCTTTTACTATCTCTATAGTATAAAATATAAACATTGTATAAATATATATAAAAGCTATGTACAGCGGCGTGTGTAGACATATAGCATCATTTTGATATCACAGCGACAAGAACATAAGCTAGTAGACAGACATATCCAGAGGAAGTACTTGGTTTCCCATCGTTTCGTTCTTTCATCTTCTTGGGCGTTGTAATTTCTGAAATACATTATACTTTGCATTATAAATTACTTACTCACTTACGATTCATATACTTCCTCGTGTGAAACATTCATTAGATGCTACAATTGTTTCGTCAATATGTTGTTTGGATTTCGTTTTGCGGCATGGGACTTGGTCCACATTGGATGATCATTTTCAAAAGTAAAACAAGTTTTAACAATTTGGGACAATTTGAACAATTTTGTAGCATTTCAATGCGCAATGGAAAGTTCAAGGCTACTTTTTCCACTACAACGTTTGAAATTGCAACATGAAGTTTGGGGTGATCACTTGAACAACTCATATCTCTGTGCTTACCAGTGTGATCAGAAGTGGTTGAATTGGTCAAGTTAGTAGAAGGTAAAGCCGTTGATCTGAAAGTTGATGGTGTATAGGTTGATGATGTATGAGTTGGTGATGATGCTGCTGTTGTAGAAGGCGATGATTCTATAAATAAATAATAAACCATATAAATAAACTGTGTAACCATCCTGTCCTATCTGCAGTACAGTTTCTAGATTTTGACATTCTTCGGACGAGATTTTTGATTGATGGAATCGTCTTATGATTAAATATAATAGATATAAATTAGCATAACCGGGCATGTAAATGCAAAGTGATATTGAAAAAACAGTAAAAGGCGTCCCTGCAACCCCCTAAAATTCGAACAAACAAAAAATTCGCGTTCAATCCGTTTTTGTTCACATCTACCCAACCCGATACCCCTTTGAGACTGAGTTTAAGAAAGTCCTCATGGCAGTATTATACATCATTAATATGAATGCAAAACGTTATTTTGCTATGTCATTACTTGCAAAATGCCAACAAAAAAAATACCAGAAAAGTTAAAAGTTTACCCTGAGGAATGTAGCAGTATTCTGTCCAGTTGCCTTGATATTTCAATGATAAATTTCTACTTAGCGAATCATAATCTAAGATTTCACAATCAGATCCTTGTGTAACTATACCAGCAGCTTCTAGTACTTTCATAAAACTACTGCAATTAAAAATGACAATTACGACACATAGGAGAAACATTAAAGGGAGAGAATCGATATCCGTTTGACCAATCGTACCTTAGTCTCAGAAACAGGAAACACTTTAGCTAAGCTAAACAATAATATGGTTCAAAGATCTCCATCGTACGGAGCCCCTAAGGCGCAATTGTAAACATATTTATTTATTATTTCGTTTAAACGAAATAATTATTTCGTTTAAACGAATAAATTATTTCGTTTTAACGAAATACCCTATGTTTATTTCGTTTAAACGAAATAATTATTTCGTTTTAACGAAATACCCTATGTTTATTTCGTTTAAACGAATTAATTTTTTCGTCTATTTCGTTTAAACGAAATAATTAACCCATCTTTTTATTTCGTTTAAACGAAATAATTAACCCATCTTTTTATTTCGTTTTAACGAAATAATAATTTATCTCGTTTAAACGAAATAACATTTCGTTTAAACGAAATAACTAATTCGTTTAATCGAAATAATTATTTCGTTTAAATAAATGGTGTTATTTCGTTTAAACGAATTAATTATTTCGTTTAAACGAAATAATTATTTCGTTTAAACGAAATAATAAATAAATATGTTTACAATTGCGCCTTAGGGGCTCCGTACCATCGAAATCCATGTGTGTAAGAATGTATATAAGGTAAGAATTATATAGAAATTGAAATTCCAAGTTCGAGATATTTTTTAATTCAATATGCAATTTTCGTAAATTTCTAGAACTTTTGAATACTATTTACATATAATACATTCAAGACCCAAATCAAACCTCGAAAATGGCGAACTTGTCCCTTTATATTAAATTATAGTATTTATCAAAATGGAAGACAGTCCAACCAGTGGGTACTCAGGATCTGATCTTGATGTTCAGCGATATAGTATATGTGCCGAAACCCTATTTTCAATAAAAATTATAATTTCTATACATTTCCTCATACAAGTGATGTTTGAATATGATTCATTATCCCTGCGAACTGCATCCTACACCTTGACTTCAATAGCCCGTTCAGTAACAGGACCACCATTCAACCAGCCAAGAGTCTCTATATTTATTCTATTTCCCGATGTGAATAAATCGAACTTACTGGCACCACCAACGTCCGTCTGATAATTTCATCACGAATTCCACTTCTTCGACCACAAATATCTTTTTATACTCTTCCAGAAATCGGTCACATGTTGTATATAAAGAACCATTAGCTCCTATAAACAAGATTATCAGACACAGTTAGTGTATATCACAAAGACAAGAAGGGATAGACGATAGATACTATGCAACCATACGTATAACTGGTATAACGGCTACGGAGTGTTCAAACCGCACCTCCAGTCCTCATACTTCATTCAATGGTGTGAGAGCACCTTTACCTAAAGAGTAAGATGGTGGATTTATTTCAATGATTCTTGAATGATTCAGAGCTGGAAATGGTAAAGTTATATGTGTAAAATACAAAACTAGATAATTATTGAGAATACCCTACACTATGCACTATTTCATTTCTGTATGAAATTTCATTGGAAAAGAAATCTCCATTCGTAAAGAATACGATGCATGAAGTAAAGGGTTGGAAATCACTTTAACTAAGAAGGCCGGCGATGAGTTTTTTTATTCCCGGTTCCCATACAATGAAACCACAGAATGTGAAGAAACTGGACATTGGAGACCGTAGAAGCAAAGAATAGGACAAATGAATCCAAACTTTACCTGAGCATAGACTGAAAGCCATTCTATTTAAGTCTTTATAACTTGGTGGGCTGCCAATACCTTGTGTGTTTTTACACTCAATATTTACTTCGGTTTCACTTCTACATTCTAAATAATCGAGAATGTACCTGAGACAAAAGGCAGAAAAGCAAAGTTATATTTACTTGTGATCTCATTTGTCTCATGGTCTTTGTCACTTCGGGCCACACCTCTGATTTCGGTCCCCTCTTCAAGCATGTTCTAGATACGCCTCTGCTATATCTGGAGGAAAATTGATGAAATTGCTTGAAATGGTAAACATGTTTTACCAAAACAGACGAAATTGAATTTAGAGATATATTTCAGAATAGAAAGTCTCCCTTACCCACAATTCTCCTTTGGAGTTGCCATTCCTAAACCGTGATTCAAAAATGGCTGTGAACATTCTAAAACTGCATCCAATTCTAAAACATTAACGGACAGTGGTCTTTTTAGATTTATATGATTACTATAAGAGTCAGTAAAGAATTTGTCTACTAGCAACCGTTTAACACTGAAGAAGGGGTAGCGGAAGAAGTAAAATGATGCTGAGTAAGGTTCGTGTTGCTAGCATATTAATGTGCCTATGTGCAGGTGTGTGTGTGGAGGGAGGTTGTTTTACATTTTTCAGGGGATTAGAGTAACGGGAAAGTATTCGCAATCCTCCCACCCCCCTTCCGAAAATTTTGTTTTGTTTTTTGTTGACAAATTTATGTTGGAATATAACAATAAACATTTTCGTCTTACCATCTGGTTTCAAGCCCTCAGAATTCGACCAGTCACAGTTCTCACAAATATATTCCTCCGTTTCGTTCAGTTCTTGACCACAATCAATATCTGTTCCACCAGTCTTAGTCTTTAAACAGTAATGGTACTCGATTTTAGATCTAAAAAGTAGAATCATTACTCCTTTGATAAATTTTACTATAAATAACGGTGAAAAATTATCCGAAAATAACGTGAACCTTATATTCCGAAACATCTCCATCTATACCAGCCTTTAATATCTATTTTGACAGTTGTCGATAGAAGTAGGGTAAGTAAATCTAGGACCTGTATTATGGGAATTTTTCACACCTCCAAAAGTGTGTTCTTTTTAACATATAATGTTAATTATTGTTGGGCACCTCCGTTGCTTTGATAGTCGTTAGAACTAGTTGATCTCGTCAAATTAGCTATCAGAGACTTGAATAGGGGCAGGTGATTCGGTCTAGTGAAGATGCAACAGCACTTCATGTAAAAAAAATACTTACTTGCATGTTTCATCTTGGGTCGAGCAGGAAACATTGCAAGACTGATAGTCGTTAGAACTAGTTGATCTCGTTAGATCAATATTCAGGAAACACAACACTATGGAATCTGAAAAAGAATGGAAAAATGCCACAGAAGGTTCGATTTTCAAGTTATGGTTCATTTTGGTGCGACATAAGATAAAGTTTAAAAAGTATATGCGCAACGAAAATCATTTATATATTTAACTAGTTGGACTTAATAGGTGCCATGATTAAAAAACAGTCTCGTTATACCATGAAATTGTGACAATTCTCTGGGATAAGCCAACCTATATCTTTCTATCGAAGGGTAAGATAAAGATGACAACTTACACAAGATTAATAGGCGTATCATATTCTCATTCTTTCATATCATCCTTAAATGATGTTTTGAACAATACCTGTAACTAAAATAAGGAAATGGTTATCAGGTAACACTCGCCCATCTCTTATATCAATATAGGCTCATATTACTACAATAATTCTTTGCGAAAAAATTGTGATTGAGCTAGGCCATGCTGACCATTTGGTGCACATAGGATGTTGGGCGGACTGTATCAATCAGTGAATAGAGTGATCATTTGGCAACTCTCGACAGTTAAGCTGAATCTGCAAAAAGTTGGAAAGCGGGGACACTTAAATCTTATATTCGCACTATTATGTATCTGCTGTACCCCCCTAAAAAGGTAAGAGTTGTAGTCACTATCATATACGTCAATATAATGTATAATGGTTTCTGCGCTGCTGACTCTATCTTTGTCAGGTTGATACAATGAGGGCACAGGCCCAAACTTAGAGGACTGAAAATATTTTCCCGGGAATAATCATCGTTTATGTAATCGATTGGATGTATTGGAAAATTTCCAGCGTCTGCTGTTTAGTCGGAAAGCTCCATAAATTTAAAAATGTTTGTAGTCTAATGTATATCCACTTTAATAGAAAGTGAATTATATTTTCACCTGAACAAGTAGAGCGAGTAAATTGCGTAATAACATCGATGCGTAGTTCAAAAAATTGAACAATCGTCATCACTACAATGTTTTTATGCCCCAACTAAGAAATATTTCGAGGTAGATCAAGGGTAAATTCAAGAAACATGAAAAAAAGTACTAAGTATATATAAATAAAGGGTAAACATGAATTGAAAACAAAATATAGAACAGGGTGCAACTAGGGCGTGTCTTCAATGATATTAAACATGTTATGTGAACTTATACTCTTCATTGCAACTTGACGTCAAATCAATCCATCTTCGAAATCAATCAATATGTAATTCTTACCTTCAATCAAGATTCAACTAAATACATTAAGTATTCCTTCCACGTTCTTTCATCAATGATAACTGATAACTACTCTGCATAATTTACAAAGTTTACAAATATCTATTCTTAAAACTCAACAGACCATTCACTATTAGGCCTACTTAAAGGGGTTGCAAAGATGTTTTCTCAATTTTTCATGTGTATCGGGGACACTGGTAGCATCAATTTCACCATTCCAATTTTCAATCCCATGTCTGTGATTCCTGAAATTCCACTAAAAATAACCTTTTTAAGACGTCACTAATCGCGAAGGGCCTTATGTGGCAAAGCAAATTTAGCGATTTCTGACATCATCAAAAACTTATTTTGTAGAATAGCAGTAACCACAAACGTCTGATTGAAAATTGGAATGGTGCAAATTGATAAACAGTGTCCCCATACACATAAAATCTAAAAAAAACCTCTTTACAATCCCTTTAATATCATTGAATAGTACATGTTACATAGTGATAAAACAGATGCAGGGAGCATGACGCCCTGTTTTTGAAAGTAAACAATATCATAACAAAATATCCTCTTTCAATTTCAGAATTTGATTAATCATCTCATAAACGGATGATGTTGTCTATCTATTTCCCTTTTATCCAACTTGTTATATTAACCATAAGATGTCATTGTAGAGATGTTCTGCACAACATAACCCTTATTGATGTTTAAAGATTTCAAGATTGCCTTTTGATGAATAAACCTTTTCATTGTAATGAATAAGTACCACTCACTTATACACATTTATAAAGGGCCTACAAAAATTTACACTTCCTCGGAATATTAGTCATCATTTAAGAAGATTTTATGTCTGTGTTCATTTGACATTTGTCAATAAATAAATTGAAAAAGCAACAAAATTGTCAGATATAAGTTTTTAATTCATCCTCAATGCTATTTACAAATAAATAAAAAAATATCACAATATAACATGGATGGAATAACAGATTAATGATGGGTTCTCTGATTAATCTTCCAATAACAGATACAGGCTAAACCCATGGTCTTGATACATGTAATGGATACAAAATAATTATTATGACAGTCTTGGAAATAAGGATAAACAATAATATTATTTTTATTTATTTATGTATTTATTTAGTTATTAATTAAAATTAAATCTAACTTTCGTTCCCATCTTATTTATTAGTTTTTATTTCTAATATAGCCACATCACTTAATTTGCCTAAAATATTGGAGTTCGAGACTAGCATTACACTCTACCATCAAGAAGTAGCCTATCCCATATAAGCCATTTCCAATGAATGAAAACCTAATAAAGTTTTGAATTTGTAATGCTTGAGGACATTAATTCTTCAAATACCAATATTTTGAGAGAATTGACAAATTCTATATTCTACAATTATAATGTCTGAAATTAGAGACGTGGGAGACACTGTGTAAATTTATATCCATATTTGGTAAACCAGCTTTAAGCAAATTATTTGCAAACAAATTAAGCTTAGTGCTACAGTCCAGCAGACATATGTGTATATCTGATTTAACAAATTAAGTTAGGTGCCAATGAAAATTAAAATAGTTTAACACATGTTATTTCTATATTGAAAAAAATAAAAATGAACTTGATTATGTTTGTGAATATTACCAGATCTGCACAATTATTTTGCTGAGCAATAATAGTGGCTTCAACCTTCAGGTATGTTACATACAAATAATTGAGCTGCATTTATACAAATTAAAGAGATATATAATAATAAACTACTAATCTCTACATCTAAACGAGAAGATAAACCACAAATCTAAAGTTTTGGTTGACAGCTGATAATAAATACATATTCAAATTCACTCATTTATTGTAGATGAATCATAAAGAGTTTACTGAACAGTGATAAAAGTTGTAGTTTATAACCACAGTTATGAGTTAATCTGAGGCCAAATGACACAAATAATATCAAGTCAGATATTGCCTTAAGACAAAGTCCTTTAAAATAAATTTTTAAATTATGAAGTTAAATTTCTTATGAAAAAACAATCATTGAGAACCTTCTTTAGAATCAATTTATATTCCTGGGTTATTTATTTTTTTTTTTTAGAAATATGATGTGTTGTATATAAAAATCATAGATAATGTTAGTCATTTTTAATGTATCTTAAGATGACATTGGGTGGAAATAAAAATGAACAGAAACTGACAATAAAGTTGTCAATGTACAGCTGTTCCATTAACTGTGATCTTATATACAGCACAGAAATGATCATAACCAGATTCTATCACCACTCTTAAGTTCTGAGCTTTAACATTTCCAAATGAAAAATCTTCTATTTGAGGAGCAGAATCTGATGACTGGAATTCTGAAACGAAAAATGAAATAAATTTACAGTAATTGCAGTTTTGTGGTTCACATCAGACTTTTTATTATGCTCTTACAGAGTTTTATTTGCATCTGAATCCTTCAAGAAACTCCACACAACTAGCCAATTGGCCCATGATCAGTTGACTTTAAAATTAAAATCCCATATGCATATACATGTATACACATCACTATATAAGACATGTTATATTGAAACAGATCAAACAAACAATAAGTATAAAACATACCTTTTTGTTCAATTGTTTTAAAATTCTGAGAATCATCTGAATTTACTTCTAATTTTATGTCACGAACTGAAAAGAACATTACTTTCTTTAAAATCTATTTATTAACTCAACTAATCTCCCTTACTTCTATTTGTATAAGCTTACATCTTCTTTGTGAAAGTGCAGTGGCGGAGCCAGGTTTGCATCTGAGGGGGGCTCGAAATATCTGAGATTGCCCAAATTGCTAACCTAGTTATGAGATTTTTGCTTTTGAGGCTACGAGGGTGTGGCTAGTGCCACCTCTGCCCCACTTTTGGCTCTGCCACTGGAAAAGTGCTTTAGGAAGTAGACTGGTCTCATAGGGCCGACTTTCAACAATTAAGTGATTATGCCGATCAAATGATTACTTATGAAGATTTGATGATTTGGCTACTAATGATGATTTAATGATCGTGTCAGTTTACTATTACCATACTTACTATTATAACATGTTATTGAAACGGAGTTGATATTAACTAAAGATGTAAATCGTATGACAAATTCTTGAGGATATAAACCACAGGTTGCCCAGAATGTTTCATCTTTCCTAAAAAATAAGAATTAATCAACAGGCATAATACTTAATAGCACAATGACATAAATGACAACGACTTTAATTTGATAGTTTGTTCATGATGGATTTTAAGATGAGGCACTAGATCTACTTTATACTTTATCTAATTACATAATAGTGATTAAGTCTACCTTAGAGCAGGAATATAAGCCTAAGTGACTAACGTCTGTTGTAGTTTGCGATATCAGCATCCGCTGGTAGCGAACGTTAACTTGTCGTCTACCAACCAACATCTGCTGTAGTCAGAATGATAATTTGTAGACTAAAATCATAGCTTAGAATTCATTATCAGGGTGATTGTTCTCAATCAAATCCCTTATTCCTATTATTATGTAGGCTATAAATTATAATAATTATAATCTTTGTTAAGTTTGGAAAACCAAGACACTATTTTAAAAGCCTCGACAAGGCCCTATTTCGGAGTATATTTACCCATCAATCATATGTTCCGGTGGATATTTATCATCACTTGATGTAGCTAGAATAATCTGAGCACCAGCTTCCGAAAGTGCAAGGTCAAACATCCTTATACTGTTAGAAAAGCAAAAATATCAATTGTTGTCAAGTGTCTGCTAAAAAATGCTGGGCAGTGCGCATGAGTAACTAGAGTAAACATTGTAACTTCCGTTTCCTGTGTATAATTTTTCCGCGAAATTTCAAACGCGGAAAACTGAGTAGTTTTTCATTTTTTATCGCAAATGTAATTTGAAACATTGTTTTCAATACAAGAGACTGTGTCCAATTGAATCAAATCATTTAGAATTGGTGTCAGATGAAAAGCAGCTACACACCTCAATAGAAGAAAGCCATTTATATTTAATTTATGACATATCAATTTTCAACCAAACCCTCAGATTGTGATGTGTTTTTGTGTGTAATAAATGATGATATTGTTAACTAATAGAATATGAAGTTTCACTGGTTAACGCTTTTTTTCTGAGAAAATTCATTGGCAGGCCTTATTATTTAAGTGAATTTGATGAAAAGCTTCAAAACAGTAGCCTACTGATAATTCTTAAAAAACATTGTGACTTGTGTTAATGAAAATATAAAAACACAATAGATCTAAGTAGAAAGTGTTTTTCTTTTCGATGTTGATTTATAAAAATTTATGCATTTATCAAAGCAAAGTCATTCTAAGTTTACAATACACTTTTAAAGCTTTTAAATTATTAAAAATAAATAAGATAAAATTGGCAATAAACGATATACTGATTAAAATTGCTCAGTCAATAACAATACATATTCTTGATCAGGTTTAAATTGTTACTGCATGTATATTCAGTGTCATGTTAGAACAAGAAGGTACACCCACATTTCTATGGCTGGCTGCCCTCATAATGATGAGATTTTTATATCTGAGACACTAGTCAAGCTATCCTTGCTCTTTGCTTTGGAAACATAGACATTTAGGCAACATGAAATGAGTTTTAGCGGAACAACGAGTCCATCTTTTTTACTTGTATCTTTTTTTTAAATCTTTGTAGATGAATTAATGTGGCACACTCAAGTAGTAGGCCTGTCCTGTAGCTGATAAAATGAAGAAGATTAAAACAAATAACGTCTCAATTAACTCTGATGCAGTCGATGAAGACCATTCCAATATCCAACAACTCCAAAGCCCATGTTCATTGTCTGACATCTGTATATATTACATAGCTTTAAATATCAATTTGGTTGATTCATTATTTGGATTTCCTGATATTGTGGGAATCAAAATCTTCCAAAAAACTGAAGAATTAGGAAAGTTTAAATTGTCATCTCCAGAATCGCAGGCTGCATTAAGACTATTCTGTGACTCGTATGAAGGCGATGTTTTATCAAGTTTATCTGTGTGTAACAACCATCTGTGTTTAAATAATTATTACGACCAGATATTAGTGTTTCAATATTTAAAACAGTTAGATATATCTGGTAATGGTATTGGAGATGATCATGATATTCTACATCATATATCTAATCTGGATAGGTAATTACTAGATTTCTCTCTTCTGTTTGTTGAGTCTGCTTAATATGCTGTGATCGGTATCCAGTTTAAACAGTACCGGTAACACGTCAAAACGGTAGCAAAATTTAATAGTCAAAACGTTAACATCTCTGCCAAAATCGGTAACAGAAATTTGGTTTTGACTATCAAAATTTGTTACCGTTTGGAGGTGTTACCGTTTTAACTGGTATTCCTGCTAATCTACATTATTCAAAGATAACTTTCAGATGCTTATTATCTCTCCAAAGTCCTATAATTACAGTTTACATTCCTCCTTCCTCCTTCCTCCTTACAATGATGCCTTTATGAACGCGTGAGGTTACAACAATGTCAGAAGTATCCATACATTTTGTGATTGGTTGTGTAAGTGTACATGACTAATATGGTACATGTATTTGTGTTGAAAGTATGATGTAATGTTAAATCAACCTAATGTATATTTCAGATTAGAGACATTATGTTTAAGAAATAATGGTTTGAGTGATGATGGGATCAGAAAGCTAACCTCACCTATCAGGATGTTAAAGAAGGGGCCTCTAGAATTACTTCATCTTGGCTTGTCAGGTAATATAATTGGTATTAGTGAGTCAGATGCCTTTATCTTAGTGGTTTTTAGATCTGATTCTTAAATGGAATAAATTGTAGAATAGTAAAAAATATACATGTACTTGTGAATAATGAGTTCTTCACTTACTCTGAAAGAACTGAAAAGTGTTCTTGAAACTTAAACATGATCTGCATAAAGGATCAACCTACTCAGCAATTAAATTGTTACCATCATTTCTGTTTTTAAAGATGTATGAGATCTATAGTTAAATTTGTTGAATGTAGGATTGAAACCCTACCTTTATATATTTCTGTTTTTGTAGAGAATTCTAGTATTTCATCATCAGTTTTAAGATATTTAAAATGTTTCCAATTCCTAGAGATTTTAGATGTTTCAAACACATCAGTTAGAGAGGTAAGTTTTCAGTTCTTTTCTTAATAATTGACAGAGGAGCTGTCTATATTGGTTTAGACCCTTTGACCAAGGTGTTGTAGTTTTCAGTGCGTTTTGTACCATACCATTTATGTCTAATTGTCCAGCTTTATACTTGTCCTTTGCTTGGCTTGATATATTTAAACAATGAAGACCTGTTTACAAGGATTTTCAACATACTTTTGACCAAAATTTATGCCTAAATTTCAATTTCTTCCCAAAATCAAATTAAATTAAAATACACCTTCTAAATACACTGTGTTCGCTCTGCTAAAAGCTCTTGATAATTTGTTGTTTTCAGACTAGAGTAAGAGAAACATTAAAATCAATGAATCTAGTCTTGTATAAGGAAGATGATATACCAGATGTATTTACTATTAAAAATAAAGGGTGGACAACTCTTACTGTAGAAACATGGAAACAACTCACATTACAACCACCTGATAAACCAAGTAAATTGTTCAACAGAAACTTCTGTAAGTATGTTTGTTTTGCATCAGGAGTTGGTTATCAGAACTAGTGCTGTATTGGTGAACTGGTCCAAATTGATGAAAAAGTTAAAGTAACATGAACCCATACCGCAATATATATTTGCATCTTATTGTAGCTTGATTGGCAAAAAAACAGTACAGCTGACAAATAATCAGAATTGACGTGGTTGATAGGACAAGATAAGTTTCAACAAAATAAACAATATTTTGGTTGTCATTGTATCAATTCTAACATATGGCATCAAAATGTCAAATTCGAGTAATAAAGATATTTTTTCAGACCAAAGGACTCTTAAACCTGAGAAAGCATCATCAGTTTCAGATATTAAACCTAGGAAGACATCCAGATTGATATTTGTCAAGTCAACACAAGTCACAGATTGTGATATTCCTGTAGAAACTGTCCATAAATCACCTTTAAAGTCATTAGATATAGAAAACTATGAACTGAAAGAGATGTATGGCAATGTTAAAACTAAAACTAGTAAGGTTACATTGTCAGATCTAATGGATTCTTGGTGATGCAGGGTGTTTGGCTGTAGGTATATAGTTGGATATATTATATATGAAATGAATGGATTCTTACTTCCTACACCTGATTAGGCTAATGAAGATGGGCAATGCCATGCAGTTCGTGAGACATTTTGCCAGGACAGTGGCATTAGCCTAAATGCATTCCAACCCTCAAGGCATCTTTAACGTGCACAGCTTGATATGTGATAGATTACCAAGTTTTGTGATGAATACTTGAACAACACATGTACTGAATGGAGTTCTTAATCATATTAATGTCATGATGCTGGTCCCACTGACCCCAGCCGCCATTTGTAAGCCATATGTAATATTTTCAGTGGTATTAAAGCTATCATCTGTAAGTAGTCTCAACCTTCAAGGCAGATAAATATTGACATCTGTTGAAGCTAAAAACTCAGAGCAATTTGAAGTTGAAAACATGTTGAAGCTGGCTTCAAGTCTAAACAGAAACACTGAACAAAAACAGTTTATTTCATGCAACAGAAATAACAACAAAATAACTTGATTAAAACATTCAATTTGTTATCAATATCAACTTTTATATAAACTGTTTGTATTATGAAGCATATTATTCCAATAGCTTTAAATTTCATACTTAATAATTGCCTCTATCACCCACTCACTCTTGTCTACTGCAGGTTTGATGAACGATCTTGTCATAGAAAGGAATAGTCTGGGCATCAGAGGCTAATTTATTATCAATTTATTTATTATCCAATTTCAATTTTTAATCCATTCCTTAAATTATTAATTAATGCCATAATAAATTAACCTCTAATTTCCTAATGAACTATTATTCTGAATTTAAGGTAACAAATGTGGACAGTATTATATTGATTAGATATGTCATAAAGATAAATCATGAAAGCTATAAGACTAATCAATTAATTCACAGAATTCATTTATAGCACACTAATATGGGTGAGAAAACTGAATTTTGTATACACCTTAAACTTCAACATAGTATTAATTGAACCTGAAATGGGATATTGTTTTGTGCCTTAGATCATGTAATATAATTTTTATGTATGATTTCTAATTTCATAATCAAATAACTAGTTAATAGCAATTGAAATCTTAATGTAAAATAAAGCAGGAAAGGGAAATTGTTTAATTTGAAATTTTGTCAAACTTATGTTAATATTCAATAACTACATGTGTTTCAGAGAAGAATTACTTGATTGATTTGAGATGATATTTTATTTAATTTAATTTGTTCAATTCATCTAAAGAGATTCTAGTGGGTTACCAATCCACTAAGAAATTTAAGATATTATATCAGACAAATATCAGAAGTTGTATCTTGGTTTATAGTTATATCTTATCCTCACAAGATGTGATCAATGCCTGAAATGAAACAAGGATTTCAATATAAATACCATAAATAAATATATCAAATAAATCAGTTATGTGGACTAGAATGAATGGAATGTTGAGTTGACAAACCTCATTGATAAGCATAAGCAATCTGACGACAGAAACTGCCATCGTACCACAATTGGTCTCCTGCCTGGCATAAAGTGCTGATGAGATAATGTAATTATCTTCTGCATAAGATGAGCTTTAGTCGCTTCAACATAGCAGAAAATTTATCAATTGAGGTACATTTACGTTCTGTGGTCCAACTGGCAAAACATTTGTAAGAAAAATGTTTAACTATTATATTCATAAATGCGCACATTGATAATATCTTGCACACAGAAACTCAATGAAAGTCAGAAAAATGAAGAGTCATAAGACTGTCCTACAACTCTTCTACCCTATATCAAACCTGGACCTATTGGAGTCTGACTGCCTTCTCTTTGGGGATCTTGATCGTGACCGTGAATAAGATGAACTTCGTCTCCGCTTGTGATGTCTGTCTCTTGATTTCGACCTTGACCTGAAAAATGAGTTTTTTCTTATCAGCTCATGACACTAGGTGTAGCAAATTTTGTAAATATTCAACCTATACAGAAAAACATTGGCCATGTTTCTCCAAAATCGTACGATTTAATTTTGTCGCAATTTTAATTTGTATCATATTGAATTGAAACAAACTTTATGCATATATTTTTTGAGAAACAAGGTCCTGGTTTTAACAATATTTCAATCAGAAGATTTAAGTAATAAGGTAAGGAATTAACTTAAAAATACTGCAAGAGGTAACAAAAGACCAACACCCAAAATTGGTTGGAAGTTGATAGCGACCTTTGACTTGTACCCATTACCAGTTACCTTGACCTAGAGTAACTCCTCCTCCTCCTGGGACTAGACGACCTTGAGCTTGAAGAAGAACTTGAATAAGATCGGGAACTTGATCTGGATGATTTCTTGGTGTTATTGGTACTTTTCTGTTCAGATTTCGACTTTGACTCATTCTCACTGTCATCACTTAATGCATATTTAGATAGATCAGCATCTTCCTGAAATATGAATCACAAACATATCATAATACAAATAATTTCAGTTTTTAAATGCAGCATTAAAGCCCACTTGTTGGAACATTTAAACAGAGATCACTTTGTCAGTTATAACAGGCTGGTATAGCAAATTTCCATTATCCATCATATATTTTCAACAACAAATATCAGATTAACTTCAAAGATAGACATTTTTCATCATATAATAGCCTTTATCTCTTGAGTTCAAGTCCAAATCATTACTGAATTTAAGCTTACTTAAGCACAGATGGGAGACATGTTTGCAAAATGCTGATATTTATCCATGTACCATTTAAGAGAGTCCACAGAGTAAGTAATATTTTTCATCAGGTGTATTTATTGCTATGTTAAATAATTTTATATTGGTCAAAAGTAAGATGTTCCCTTACATCATCATCTGATTCCAACTGATATTTTGACACATCTCCATCCTCATCATCTTCTTCATCATCATCATCAGGAGGAGGAGCGGGTGATATCTCTTTTACTGACTGAACTATTGGTAATTTACCCCTTCTACCTTTCTTTAATCGGCCAAACTAGAATACAGACAAACTAGAATACAGACAAGCAAGAACAAATATTGTGTCTACACTATTAGCATAGAAGCTAGTTTAAAGTAGCAGGTAGTATGGACTCATCCATTCAGCTACAGTAGAGTCTCACTCTAAGTTAGAGCAAGTGTAAATATTTCTTATGCAGCAGCTGGGCAAATCGTCAAACCAAGATTTTGATTTTAGCTTATTATTAGAATGTTAATATTCAAAAGTGAATTAACTAATATTAAAGCTATACCTCATCATAGTCATCATCATCATCGTTGTCAATTCTGTCTTTATATTCTACAACTTCATCTCTTTCCATAAACCCACCACCATAACCTGTTGAAATAGGGCTTAAACTTAGTCAAAATCTCTAGTCTAATATTAATACATATACATATAACATGACTTGGCTTCGGCAGATGTTCACAGGTTATACTTAAAAATAGATACCTAACAGGTGTTCTGTTTAGTCTGCAATATCAGAAATTTAGCTGTTGGTTATTTACCAACCAACCTACCAAAGCCTACTGTTCATAGTAGTGATGGGAAATCGTTGAAAATCATGGAAACTGATAATTTCATAGTATTTAAACAGTTTTTAGGTCAGGGAATGCTCAAAATAGGTAGCTTCCTGGAGGGAGGTGCTTAACAGAAGAATGATTCACCCAGTTGACCCAGTGAAGAATGAATTTTTATTTTTATTGTGATCACAACAATAATATAACTGCTGTAATCCATCACTTAACTCATAACACGCCTGATAACCTTGTGCTTTGTAAGAGTAATTAAAAAGAAAGGCATGTATCATTTTACATTATGGATAATTTGAGAAATTCTATTAATGATATTGGATGTTCAGACCATTTCAAAAGGGGATAATATTTTCAACAACAGTAGGCCTAGTAGATGCAATGTTTAGATTGGATTTGATGGGTCCTCATTAACTTTTAGAAAGCTAGACAGTAGAGAGGCCTCACTTGAGGTACGTTCGTGTGAAAATAACCTTGAAAGGTGTGTTTGAAAATGAAAATATTCTAAATCGATTGTTGCAATCGGTAAGATATAATTGATCGACAACCGATAATTTGTGACAATCGGCCCATTAATAGTTCATGGTGAAAAAGAATCTATCCAACATGGGTTACTGCCACTATGTCCGATTCAAATAGAATTTATATAAGATTCAGGAATTCTGAAAATATCTGATTGATCAACTAACAGATCTCTGGTTTACCTGTCTGAGTTTGACTAACTCTAACAGTAGACTAATTTTCCCATGTTTTAGACTACCTTGAAACTAGATTCTATGCATATTGTCTATTGAGAAAGTATAAAATATTAGTACCTGTCCTTTGTTCAACTTTACCATATTTTGGTGCATTACAAACATTGCAGGTCATTCTTCTTGCCCAGTTAACATTGCCACAACTAAATAAAAAACATTGTGCATGTGAAATAGTACAAGAACTTCTATTGCACACTGTAGGTACTGTATGCTCTTTAAAATTCTTCAGGGCACAAATGAAATGTTCTTTTTCGTCGAATATTTTGCTCCTGAATTTGCTATAGATAAACAAAAATCCAATGCAGATGTTCAGGAGGCTTTGTCCCATTCAAATGACAAGGTCATTTAGAACATTTGTTTGTTATCACATAAGGGATGTTACTTAAAGCAAAACTCATAGATATCCTCCACCCCAGTTTTAATAGAGGTCACTAGTTTTAACATGGAGGAATAGGATCTTTGTTTACCTTTTACACTGCCAATCATCAGCACTGAACAGACCTTTACTCTTCTCCGCCATCTGCTTCCCTATTTCATGCCCACCTTTTTTAACCAAGGTTCCATCTTTCTTTACTAGAAAGGTAAGATATTGAAGAAACATATAAAATGGAGAGTACTACTCTCAAAGTAGGGCAAGTCATTCACATTGTAGACTTTGGAAGATAGGCCTACCTGGATAAGGTGTAATTTTCCTTCTCATCATACTAGCCTAGTAAGCATGTCACAAGCATGGTGAATTGTATAACAATCTTTAGCTTAGAGACGGAAGTACAATGCATCAAGTTTGTCTAAATATCTTTACTATGCGGTAAAATCTTGGATATCTTAACTAATATCTTTACAGTTCTTACAAATGCAATGCAGCTGTATCCATAATTAGGCCTAAAGGGAAAGGGCAGATATAGAGTGATAGAGGTACCCGTTTGGAAGGCTTAATATTAATAAGCACTTTATTAAATTAAATGCTTACTTATGCTAGGAGTGTTATTTTTACTTGCTCCACATTTATTACATTCACTTCTTCTAGCAAAGTTCACATTTCCACAGCTAAAATGAAAACCAAAACAGTAATCAAATTGTTGTTGTAGTCTGTAACTGATACATCGTTGCAACAAGGACAAAGTTACCTTTCCTTTTCAAATGAATGAGATATTCCGCCAGGCGTTTTAGCACCTAAATATTGAATTCTATGGGCTTTAAATAATTCAAAATCAAAGTTTTCTTCTGTAATTTAAATACCTTGGATCTGAGCAGGTCCAGTCACCTTCACTTTGTTTGAATCGGCCTCCGCCTGCACTTTCCTTCGTCGACATATTTCCAGATTATAAATGTGAGAATGGTGGCGCTACAGTTAGGTAGTCGAGATTATCCAGGGAAGAAGGACTAAAACGAAAGTAGATCGAAGGTTACGATCAGACCACGCTTAGATTTGCACTGAAAATAAGGAAGATAAATAAATTCTAATAAACATTTGCATTCTTTGAATTATCTCATTTACTGAGGGATAGAAATGGATTCATCACTTCGACAGCGTTCAGCTGCCAATGAAGTTACTGACCACATCCGTCAGTTCAACTCTGGCAATTACGAAGATGAACATTCCAAGAGGAAAGGCAAAATTTTTTACCAAAATCATGTGAATGGACTTACTTTGATTCCTCTGCTACTTTTGTTACATGCCATTTTGACATTTTTTGTTCATAATAGATTGAATAGTTTTCCACAACCTCTGACAATCAGGGGATCAGAACCATCAGACTTTGTGGAAGAAAGAGTTAGAGTTACCTTGGATTCTCTGGTCAGTCTAGGACCCAGAGTAACTGGCAGTGATGCCAATATTAAAGCAAGAGATGTCATTCTTGGAGTTATTGAAGATGTCCAGAGAAATTCAAATAATGTGCATCAAATATCTATAAATCAGCAAACAGTTGATGGAGACTTTGCAATAGATTTTCTAGAAGCTGGTCATTTTACCAGTGCCTATAAAAATATCCATAATATTATGGTCAAGTTGACAGCAAAGGACAAGCCTTCTAATCACAGTTTATTGGTAAATTGTCACTATGATTCAGTTCATGCCAGTCCAGGTAAATAAGATAGAAATTTCAATTTCTTGTTGAGACAGATAATAATATTTGTAGACATAGTTTTTTTCATGCAAATGAATTCACAAGAAAATTTGTCTACCAATTTTGCCCAATAACTTTTATTATTATATTTATCAGCTGTACTGCCAGTATTGTTAACAAAAAGTTTCCCTCTTTATTGCCAGATGTCTGTTTTCATTGATTCTAAAAACAATTTATATGACTTAAAGAGCCTGGATACAAATAAGGAAATAGAAAGTTGTTAGTAGCCAGGCGCAAAAGCATGTTTGATACCAGTATAATGATTGTATAAACTGCATTTCATATTAAAATTCTACAAATGTTGCATGCAGTTATGTTTAGACTGATCCTTAAAGTAGAAACTGCGTTTTATGAATGTAATATTATTTCAGGAGCAAGTGATGATGCTGTTAGTTGTTGTGTCATGTTAGAATTACTTCGTTCCTTTTCTCAACACAATCAGGCATTTCGCCATAATGTCATCTTTCTTTTTAATGGAGCAGAGGAGAATGTTCTTCAGGTTATTTTACAATTATATATACATATCCATTCAACAATATATATATATTAATTATGTGAGATTAATGATGTAATCTCTTAAAAATAGAATCAAGTGAAGATAAAGTTTAAAATACCAAAGTACCTACTAAGATGGATTTTTCAATTTGGTCACATTGTAAATCTGTAAATCTCATAAGCTTATTTGAATATCTAAATATTTCAGGCTAGTCATGGTTTTATTACTAAACATAAATGGGGAAGTTCAATTCGTGCATTTGTTAATTTAGAGGCTACAGGAGCTGGTGGCTGGGAGATGGTGTTTCAGACAGGTAAACATTGCCTTTTGATTTCAGCAATATTTATATCAGTACCATTGTAGAAATTGGCAAATTTATTTAAGTAATTGTTTTCTCTGTAACTGTGTCCAGTTATCAATTACATGAAAATCAAGTTACAAACATTCCTTAACTTCAATTGCATTAAAATTAAAACAAATTAGACTATTTTCAATAAATTGTGAGCAAATAAATTTTATATAATGTTAATTATACAAGGATCACCATTGATATTATTTGAAAAGCCTAATCTGTGAACAAAACCTTGAGTATTGAGTTTAGATGTAGAAAGGATTAACCTGCACCTTTCATCATTTTGAGGCTAATACCCATGTCTACTTACATGGTCGAGTGGAATAGTTTGACAGAGATAATTTTGGTTGAAAAAATATTTGATATTGATTTTCTGAATTTTGCAGGTCCCGAGAACCCTTGGTTGATACGAAAATACATTGATTCTGTAAAATATCCCTCAGCTAGTATATTTAGTCAGGAAATATTTCAAACTGGAAAAATTCCTGGTGATACAGATTTTAGAATATTTCGAGACTATGGTAACATACCAGGTTAGTTGGCATTTTAAAGGGGGATCACCCATGACAGCATCTTAGAACAACTGGATCAATTTTTAATCAGAAATCTGATGCCACAATTGATTCTTGATCAGTACTTATGTCCTAATGGCAGATTTCTAACAAACTATTTAGCAATCTATGTTATAAAAATTTGCAAATCAAACTGCAAAAAATGCTTTTTATTCACCTTTATAGGAGCATTTTAAGTGCTTCCCTATTGCAGTATTTCTACCATAGGCTTTTTTGTTATTTCAATTCCAGGTATTGACATTGCTCATATTAAATATGGTTACGTCTACCATACACCCAATGATTTACCCAGATATATACAACCAGGCTGTATTCAGAGAGGAGGTAGGTTATTGTATTAATCTAGATATATTCAATCCGGCTGTATTTAGAGAGGAGGTAGGTTATTGTATTGATCTAGATATATACAACCAGGCTGTATTTAGAGAGGAGGTAGGTTATTGTATTGATCTAGATATATACAACTAGGCTGTATTTAGACAGGAGGTAGGTTATTGTATTGATCTAGATATATACAACCAGGCTGTATTTAGAGAGGAGGTAGGTTAATGTATTGATCTAGATATATACAACTAGGCTGTATTTAGACAGGAGGTAGGTTATTGTATTGATCTAGATATATACAACTAGGCTGTATTTAGAGAGGAGGTAGGTTAATGTATTGATCTAGATATATACAACTAGGCTGTATTTAGACAGGAGGTAGGTTAATGTATTGATCTAGATATATACAACTAGGCTGTATTTAGACAGGAGGTAGGTTATTGTATTGATCTAGATATATACAACTAGGCTGTATTTAGAGAGGAGGTAGGTTATTGTATCGAGAGAGATAAGGTATGTTTTACATACTTCAATTTCTCTTTGAAATGTTTTTCAGGGGAGAATTTATATAGTTTGATTACATCGTTAATATCTGGTGATGAATTAGTAGATCCAGGACCCCAGAAACATGGCACTGTGGTATTCTATGATTTTATTGGTTATTTTATGATATCTTATCCAATGAGAATGGCTGTTATATTGAATGTTGGAATCGCAAGTCTGTTTCTGTTGGTTATAATCAGAAAGGTCAAGGGACATAATCATATTGGTAAGTCTTTTAAGTCTTTTTAAGAAATGTAGTCATCTGATTGGATGGTAGAGCAAAATTTGAAATTGACTATTATAATCAGATTGGAACACAAAAATCATAAATTATTTTAAACACTGCTCAACTGGCAGTAGAAACAGACCCATGGTCCCAAAGCATCTATTGTTTGGTTCAAGGGGTCTTCTATTGCATTGAATATTGGAATTGTATCAAATGTTTCAGGTGAAAATGGTATACGGTATATAAAAGACCTAGTAGTATCTACAGTACTGGTGTTTTTAACCTGGGTGGTTATAATAGCCACTAATATTGGTCTGGCTAGACTAGTTACTGTATTAGATAAAGATATGTCATGGTTTACCAATATTAGTAATATTATATGGTTATATATTCTACCTCCTATAGTTTCTGTGTTATCTTTACATTACTGCCTAAAAAACACTTTTTATAGGGTAAGTAATAGTGCTGGCACGATATATATATATCACAATAGGACATGCCACGACATGTTAATTGGTGTATACAGATAATTGACAATACCTGTCATTCCATAAAGAAAGTGGGGATTTTATAAGTTGGTGAATGGAATCAGAATTTTTTTTTCACTGACATGGCAGAGTGGTATCAGGTGATTTAGAAGTGTCCCCTTGTGCTGGAAGCACAAATTCGATGAAGTAAAGTTTTTGAACGTGTCTGCAAATGGTACAGTCTTGTCCTCTAGTAGAATGATCTACACAGACGAAATGTGTTACTTGATCTCTATTTCAGACAAGTAATGTATGGTATATAGAGAGTTTGTTTCATGAGGCCAATATGTTATTATGGTGTATAATTTTATTAATATTAACTTATTGTAATATAGCCTCAGCCAGTGTTTTACTGTTTATAATCGTATTTCCATTATTGATTCGAAATCAAGTCTTTAATTTTCATTTTAAAGGTAAGGATAATGAAGGCTTAATTTATTCAATATTATTCAAATTTATTCATAACCATTATAAATTTGCCAGTGCATGTCATTACCCATCTTCATTAGCCCAATTAGGTGCAGAAAAGTAGGACATAAAACTCCATTCATCTCATTTCTGGTATAATTGAAAATAAATAATTTAACATTGATATTGAGCTGAAACAAACAATTTTGATGCTTTGCCCATTACCAAAACTTTTAGTTTGGTTCTTATACAATAATAAAATGTGTTCACTCCACTTCAAGACAACTGAGCTATTTCAGCCTGTGTTTTGACTGATGATATATTTATTCTATTTCAGAGAAGAATGAATGGTATACCCCAATACATATATCTTCTCTATTGATACCAACTCTTTATATTATATATTTATTCAATAATCTAATTGGTTTAGTAATACCCATAATGGGACGCAGTGGTACTGATATAATTCCAGACCAAACTGTAGCAATTCTATTATCTGTTCCTTTACTCCTTATTCTATCTTATAATGTAAGTGTAACTGCTTAAAGATATTCTTTAATTGATATTTAGTAATTGGTATGAATTATAAATAAGAAAATACGATATTGAAAAGTATTAAGGAGTAGTATACTATAAAATTGTGTTCCGTTATTTAATGTGATCTCTACCCCTAAATGTTGCTTAAGGATCATATGGAAAACGATTTGTAGATTGACTTGAAGATAGTTTCAACAGGGAAACCTTCAATAGATATACTGTTTTTATTTTCAGTGTGGTGTAGTATATGTTTGTTCTAATATAGGAAAATGTATAATATTATTATCAGTTATCTCATTAACTGGAATAGCAGCTTTTGTTTTTACCTCCCATGGATTCCCATTCTCATCGAATGTAGAAGATGGATCGATGCAGAGAGCTTACTTTACTGTAAGTTACATGACTTAATGTTAAATATTAGACTATAAGATGTTAAATAAGATGAAATCTATGGATCATGGCTAATAATTTTCTTGTTTTTCGAGTCATATGATTGGTCCCTTAAACTTACTGTCTGTGAACTATGTCTGACATATGGAGTCATTTCTGATACAACTTTACAAATACAACATTCTTGAATAAAATTATTTAAAAAAAATTCTTCACATCAAGATGTTTTGGTTATATTTGTCATACATGAAGCAGAACATCTTGATCTTTATAATACTGTATATTTTAATGTATTCTTACAATTTTATTTTCTATAGCATTATGACAGAATTGATCATAAACTAAACAGTGAACCAACATTTGATAATTCTTATTTCTGGCATGTACAGCTAGATTATAAAGGACCCAAAGTATTTCAAACACCAGAATACTCACATATATTTAAAAACGCATCATTTGTTGAATGTAATGGACCGTTCTGCAGCATGCCTTTCTTGTTACCACTAATTAGGTTGCTAGATCCTAGGTATGTACCCCAAGAAATTGATTTTTAATGTTGCTGAGTCAAACAAATTATCTCCTTAATCTGCAAAAGGTGGAATAATCTGGAGACACTTTTATGAGCATTTTAGTTGTACAAACCTATCAACATCCACTGTAAACTTGTCATTTTCTTGGTGTTTATCAAACTTCTTGTTCTAAATTTTGGGTGAGGAGTAATTCTGTTATTTTTATTCTTTTTGAAGTGCCTTATAAAAATAAAAGTAAAATTTAGTAATGGTGCATATATAACTGTAAGTGTGTCCTTAATAATTCAATTTTCCATTCTAATTAACATTTCATATTTTTTTTCACATTTCAGAAAATCTGTACAGATGCCAGCACCTCGTTTATTAGGTTATAAACGGGCTGATGTACAGTTAATAGACAGAACAAAATTATCAATGGATACAATTAGATTAACATTTCAAGTAACTGGTAAGTCAGAACCCATCCATTAGAAAATATTTGTTATTGTAACCCATTAATGATGCATTTTACATCAGACCATTCTACAATATATTTGCTATATTAGACCATGCCTTAAAGACAGCCCTTCAGCTTTTTGGTCATAACCCATTATGAAACAGAGAATTATTAAGGTTTTGTACACATTAAGTGTTTTATCTGCTAGCTATTGTTGAATGAAATAGAAAATAATAATAACCATAGTTTAATGGGATGACAAAACATTCTACCTACAAAAAATTATCATTGTTATATCTGCTGACTAGGTGGTCCTTGGTATGTACTGGTTAACTTCTTAGTTAATGGATTTGTGGATACTGAGGAAAATCCTTAGATCTTCCTTGAGGTCTATAAATCCTGGCTTTGTGCACAATCAAGGTACTTTCCAAACCACTTTTCATTTATCAGTGTATTTAATTCAACTATTTTAGGTCCAGATCATATTACCAATTTTATCATGCCAAGAGAAGGTGTCAGTGTACAAAGATGGAGTTTAGAAGATGGAGAACCTCTACCCATTATTTCACTTCCTATATTTCAACAACCTACATACTTCATTTACTATAGTTATGAAACTAAACCAGTAGTACCTTGGCAGTTCTCTATTATTTTACATGTAAGTTGATTATCTTGCTGATGCAGCGTGTTTTTGGATACAATGTTCATTTTTAGACCAGCTAGTTAGAAAATAAGGAGAAATTTAGCAGGGAGGGAGAATAATTAATAAGGGTATCCCCCAAAACGCTGGTACATCGGCTAAACATTATAGTTTTTTTTTCTTATATATATTGACAGGTAAACAAAGGAAGAGATGATAATATACCATTGTTAGATTATTCAGTTGTCGGCCATTATTTACATGGCAAGCTTCAAGTCTCACCAGCATTCTCAACATTATTACAACAACTGCCTCCCTGGTGTGCTATTACACCTACTACTGCCACAGTGGATGTTTATGAATTTTAATATTATGCCAAAGGGGCATATTCATCATTCATTCCTTCATTCATACCTCTCAGAAATCAGAATTGTTCTGCTATTCTAATCAGTAATTGTTTTTCACCCCCAAAAAATGTTGATTGTTGCCATTATAGTCTTTCTTTAATATCTAGAATTTACTTATATATATAACAGGGTATATTATCCTAATTATATAATTAGATAGGAAGAATTAAAAGAAATTGGATTAGGTAATGCTATATTATCATTTATTTCCAATTTCCGAGAAGTTTTTCACTTTAGGTTGTGTAGTTTTGTTATTAGTCATTTATCATCGCTCAATAATGCTCAATCAAATCAACATTTTTCTAAAAGTAAATATACTCTGGATTGTCATTCTAAGTTTTTTTTTGCCATAAGCTTATACCCATTAGTGTAGTTCAGAAAGAATAATTTGTAAAGGAAAAACTTGCAAAATGTCAGTTCTTTTTAATTATGAACAATTCTGGACATGCCAAAATAAATCTATGAGTTTTTTGTAACGTGTGTAAACCATGTATATCTTGGGTTCACCAGTTACATTTTGACTACAGGTACTACAACCTTATTACATTACCTGCTAATACCATTTTGCCAATCAAAGCTTGCCAGAAGACAAGGTTACAGAAATGATGAATTTGTTAATTTAGAGGGCAAAAAAATTAGACAATATTATCATCTGAAAATTATCTATATTATTCTCTGTTGATAACCAAAATTACATGCCCTGTGGGTTTTAGATTCAGAATTATTTTAAGATCTAGTGAATTCCTTTGATAAAAAGTTCAGCCAGTGTGCCAATTAAAACTTTAGATGATCAGAATTAACATAGTGACTGTCCACAGATAATCTGGGATTCTAGAAAACTTGCATCATGATTTGTATCGATTGTATTGTATAGATTTGTATCTTGTGAAAGAAATAAAACAATAAAGGACTTTATTAGTTTATTTTATAAATACATACATTATAATGACCAGCTAATAGTGTCTATACCCATTTAATAATATAGAATACATATAAAAATATTCAACTTGCAGAAACCATTTGCCCTGTTGCCCTGTTGACGCAATTAGTAGATCCTTTCCAAAATTTAAACATTTTTTTGAATTGATGATTCATAACTTAACTCTCCAAGCAGTTAGAAATCCACTACACGTGATATTTTATTGTATGCTATTGGATTGCCAGTATTGCTGTCATATTCTGTAGGCCATAATATAGTATACATATACTTGCATTGGTTTTTACTTTTTAATGACCCTGGTTAGATATAAGTGAATTGGCTGTAACGTCAGCTATGCTGATCACCAATTCAGGATTCAATACAGGTGAAAATAGTAGATGAATGATATCTATTATACATAATATGACTATTTACACACATTTTTTAGTTCCTCTATCAGTGACCAAAAAACCTGAAAAATACAAAATAACAGAAAATTCAATCAAGAAATCTCCACGAAATCACCTCATCATTTTGTACAATTTTCTTTAATTACAATTATATTGGAATGTAGAATATATTGTGATCTTATCAAGAGCTAAAATATTTGATATACAGTGTGTTGAAAATAGATGCAATCCATTCAAATGGACACCACCTTTACTGAAAGGAATACTTACGTTAACATTAAGAACATAACAAATATATTCCACAGAGCTATAAATATTCTCAGATGACGAAGACTCAAAAGAAATTCACGTATTTTATCTCCAGTGGTAACATTGACCATTCCAAATCCTTCTTCTGCAGATTTCTTACTGAAACAACAAAAGTTAAATATGGCCAGGTGACAATATTATAAAGATAACTCATAGTGGTAACTTTATTCTAAAATGTAGAGAGTGAAAGGCATGCATGATTTTGATATGCTGGTGTGTAATAATAATAATAATAAAACAATAAGCTTAACTTACAGTTTGAAGTTGAGTATTGCTCCTGCATTGACAAGAAGTGTTCTGGAAAATGTTAAAAGGGTAAAAATGAAGATCTACTGAATTTCACTTTATATTATAGTTACATTTACAATCCACAATTTATTAAAACCCGAGTGGTTACATTTCTGCTTGAAACTGCGCAAAAGAAGTATTTTTATGCAAAAAAAGAGCTCTGGGATTCCGGGTTCATTTATTTATCATGATGCAATTAATTTTCTTTTCAGTTTGACTGTTCATGAAATACGAGTCACAATGACACAGAAATCAATTCATACTTTACCCGAATAAAATTAAGTCAGAAATCATCCTGAATATATTGAAAGAACACTTTTTCTTGTTTAGAAACAAGTTACATTTTTTTGTTTACACGTCAATATTTACTTCCGGTATAATGGATTCAGACAACCACACTTTCTGGCGAAATAATATAATCCGAAATGATCTACTACAGTGAAAACCTGAAATAGAGTTCTCTCCCCCTTTTTTCAGGAGGCGATTAGAATAGATGATATCTCAAGGACATCTTTTCTTAACTACAGCATGTTAGTAATTTCATTTTGTCTAAATATTGGTCTTATGTCGCCTCTCCTCAAATTGGTCTTTAAATTAATTCAATTTAAGAAATAAATTTCAAAAAATTATTTCTCTTGATCTTGAAACACAACTCCTACTTTTTAAGCGCTCTTTTTATAGTTTTTGCAAGAGTATATGTTTAATATGAGAAAATTTGAAACTCGAATTTATCAAGTACGTGGTACATGCAACCTTGCAGTGCGATTGTGACCAGTGATTGGTAGATATCTACCGTTAAGTTGGCTAATAAGTTTAACCTTAGTGTCTGGCAGAGGTGAGCAGTAATCAATATATTCATGTAGACCCAAGACCACAGGTCAAGACTCTTAGTTTATTGTACATTGCGAGCGATTCAGGATTTCAATTGAACTCAATTCATGTCAACCTCATTGATTGGGGTGGTGGTTGACTTATGGATAACAATTTGGGGTAAACTTATCTATATAAATACATTGTAAATAGGTAGAGACATGTTTAAGGTTGTTTTAATATTCCTATATCGCTCTACCAGAGCACCGTTTTAACAGTGAGAACGTTTTGTTTTCTTAGCTTAGGTAGGTTTTGAATCATTCCTGGACAATGATCGATAATCATATTGTAAAGTAGGCGTAAAAGAGATGTAATCATGTAAATCGGGGTTCTGGAAAAATCACTACACTTAAAGTAGTTATAGCGTTTTATTTTCAAAATGCATTCATTAGCAAAGGTAATCAATAATAATCCAATAAGTTCAAGATAATCATTAAACAATTCTTTCATAGAAAGACAAACAGGTGAAAAGCCTGGAAAATTATTTAAAGGGGTACATTTGAATATTCAAAATAGCCTATACATTGAGGGCTATATAAAAGAAAAACTTGTTACTTTCTTAGAGTCAATGTCGTTATCTCCATATATTAATCATCCCATACGATATCCTTGATCTACTATACCAGTTGTAGAAAGATGGGCTAAAAGAAAAGCCTAAAGATCTCTCAGAAAAAGCGTATTAAGTTACATTAAGTTTTTTTCTCTTCAAATATGAAATAATATAAATATCATGCTATAGTGAATAATTTCTATGTGCCAAGACTCAAGACTGACTAAATGCGATATCTCATCAAATGATAACCAATCAGATTTCGAATGGTATGAGGTATAGCTGTGTGCAAAGAAACCGAAATCATTTGGGAATTTGGTTCCGCGGATAGTTGTCCACCCCCAAAAGACATCGATACCCCAAAATACCATTGATTCGGTTAAAATCTTCGCTCGAAACAGTAAGGTAAGACAAAATTCAAGAATAAACTAGTGACTAATGACAGGCTCTGGAAACTGTCACGTTCAGTCGTATTGAAAATGAATTGAATAATAATGTATTTCTTTGGAGCTATTAGATCAGCGTTTGTATAATCGGTTTTTTGAAGAATAATCATTAGCATATTATTATGCATGACTACAGATGACCCGTCTACTCAATGTAAAGTACTTTATTTCTATATAAAATCAACATGGTCGCAGTGACTGGGTTGTTATTAACTTTCAACCATTCAACTGCACCAGTCGGAAACAGTGCTCAAATTGCACGAAATTATAACTATTTCAACCGGGAATTCGATGTTAGTGTAGTGAAAGTGACAGATACGGTTTTAATGGTGATTGTTAAAGTGATCTCACCCATTCTACCATTGCCCTTGAAAAGACGGGGTTTGAATCACATATTCATAAGATAACATCAATTACAAAGATATATCTGCCACAAATTCCGTTGGAGCAGTTCTCATTAATAAGTGTTTCCATAACCAGACCAGTCACAAAATAATGTCATAAGGTTACAATAAGTCAATTATTGAAACTAGACGACCACGGTTGTTCGAAATGAAACGAAATTCAATAAATATCGTATTGTAGAATGTTTTTTGTCTAACCGTCTATTGTTTGACTTTAAATACTCATTAATATTGCTGTCTTCTATTTGAATTTATCTTAATTTTAATTCACTCTTGATTTCAAACAGAACCATCAAAATGTGGCTAGACTTTAGATTGAAACAAGTTTTGTACGAACGCCAAGTTTTAAACGACTTCTTGTCACATAATATTCCAGTTGATCCTGGAAGAGGCCTATTACTTCTAACAAATGAGTCTGGAAACGATAACAAAAAATAAGCTTTTCGACTTAAATTACTATTTTAAACTGTGGTCAAGTCGACCAAATTCTGAATTCTGACTGAATGCCAATTTTCCAGTAAGTTACACAACACCTGACGCCACTCTGGCGCCACTCTGACGCCACTCATGTGAATTATATTCTAAGTTTCTCTTTCAAAGAAGAACATGTGAATTAACGGACAGACGAACACTGGCGGCGACAATATATTTTAATAATTGGATCATATAAATACATTGTAAATGACAATGGAATTTAAAGCACCTATTCTAGCAAACATTAGCTCTGATGTAATATGTTTACTATAAATACATATGATTAAAATATGATAAAAATTGCATGAATAATATAGATCTGAGTGGGTAAGGGTAAAAAGATACAACCTAGTTTATTGAAAGCTGTGGGCAGAATATATGATAACATAGCGCAAGGTAAGGTCATCTTTAGAAATATGTCAAGCTATTACAAAATACGTCTTATTCCTTTACTGCAAGATGACCTATCGCGTGTCATACAAGTTTGTTAGTTGATTGATTGTACTTAAGCGAAAACAACCAGGCAATGCAACAATAAGCCATAAAGATTATATTCTTTTTTGTCGGAGGCTCTGATTGGCTGTATTCTCTGGCGTATAATCCAATAAATCGCTACATTAGCGATGAAAGAACGGTGGCTATTGTAGTCAAGGTATAAGAAAAAGTTCGTAATAGCTTGACATTGTGAAGATGGGTAAAAGGCATGAATAATAATTATAATATAATATACAATAAATTGTGATCTCTTCTGTACAAAATACAAAATCAATGTCAACTGCCGTCCAGAATTGCTTTTACAATGGACATGTAGAGTTCAAAAAGCTATTATCATAAGATAATGTTTCTGTACAACTCTATACACAATTTTCTTATTTGCTTTTGAAGGCAGGCATATTACAAAAAGGGTTGACACAAAGCGACATTATGGAAGTCAAATGCCTGCAGTCTTATAGCAACTACAACCTAGAACCTCCAAGTTCATCATCAACCTGTGCTATCGCTGTTTTTTGTTTCTGTTTTTTTTTTTTTTTTTTTGTCTTTTTGAACAAATTAGTTATTGCACTGTCTTATCTAAGACAGTAGTATTTTTATTTATCTTTCGTCAGTTGTTGTTGTACTGGTCAAAATAATCACCGCTACAACATCAACTTTTTTATTATTTTGTTGTTGCCTTAAATAACGATTAATAAAACGGCCGGTTTTGGCTTCCATAATATCACTAACACACAATCAAAATACAAGGTTTATATGGAAGCAACCAGTGATAAAAAACACTTATAGTGCACAATAATTTAACAATGAAAACAACAAGTCAAATAACATTTAAATTATAACATGTTCATATTGCATAGCATTTAAAAAGGGTGACGACACTCGTATCTTTATTATCAAATTGTCGAATGTCCTTTAAATAGAAAGACTGAAATGCATATTAATAAGTTAAAAATTGAAAATGCAAGAAAAATGATTTATAAAATCAAAGAAAATTGTCAATTCGCCAAATGGCTTTTATAATTTATTGAAAGTGGACCATTTTATATCGTAATGATTGGTCCCAGTTTCTAAAATATCACATGAATATCATTTCCACCGCCATAATCTCAAAAACTTTAATCAGCAGTCACGCGGTTCATCACAGAAAAAAACTCGATATGGGTATCACCGTGTATCCAACTTTATATATTCTGGCAACATAGCAACTTCGATAAACGTTGTGACAACTTAAATGTTCAGTTATTGCCAAAGTCCATTAATCAATTTCACATTTCAATTTAAAAATACTAGTAGCACAAATAGTTTTATGTCCAGTACTTTAACGGATAAATCCTAGTTAGCACTCCTCTACCACAATATGGTAATCTCTCTATTTCATCTCCAGCTTCTCAAGTGGAGCAAGTAGGTTACAAGCTATATACATTTGCACGAGGAATATTCCGATTGTCGTGGGTTATTATAACAGTTAGTTTAACCGGAGCACCGAGTATTGGGCGTTTCATATGACATCGCCCTGATAACGAACACCATCATCAGAGTAAGCTTTTCCAGAGCGACCACGTTTAAACTGATAATCAGAGTTGGTCCTTTGTAACACTATGTCAGTCATGGAATTGGATTCTGAGAATCTTGCTATAGGAACATACACGTGGTGTTTTGTCCCATTATCACATGTTTTGCCATTCATTAAGGTTTCTGGAATTGTAGACGCATTAGAAGCTCGTCTCTCTTCTAATAATAGTCTCCCGGTATCAACGCCATTTGAAGCCGCGTTTGAGCCAATAGGTACGCCTGATCTAGATCGAACGTGAGTATAAAATAATGAAAAATTGTTTGAAATGACTGGAATAGTCAAAGCAACTAGGAGGACACCGCTAACGGCACAAGCAGTTCCTACGATGTATCCGACAGGTTTAGTAGGATACACATCACCATATCCTACCGTAGTCATTGTAATAATTGCCCACCAAAATCCCATAGGTATAGTATTAAACTTTTCACCGGGAGTAACGGCATCTGTACGCTCTGCATAGTAAATCATTGTGGCAAAAACAAGCATACCAATCATTAAGAATATAAACAACATCAATAATTCCTGAATACTGGCCTTGATAGCATAAACTAATACTTTTAATGCTTGGTAATGTTTCACTAGGTGGAAGATACGAAACATTCTAATGATTCGCAAAATAAACATAATCTCAATCACAAATCTTTCATTCAAGTAACATCCCCCTAACTTAGCTTGAGTAAAGAAAACCTCTACATACAGCGGCACTAAAGCCAGCAAGTCTATGATGTTCATCATTGAACGAACAAATTTAAGACGATTTGGCGAAAATATGAAACGAAATATAAGTTCTAAAGTAAAAAATATTGAACAAATAATATCAAGGATATCCAAAGCATTATCAGCGCTCATTGTGTTAGTGCCCATAGCTTCATTATTCCCTTCACAAGAAGAGGACGATGTGATATTATCATCTGTTGGTAAAGTTTCTAAACAAAACCCAGCTATAGATAACATGACAAATAGGAAGGAAGTTATACCATATACCTGGAAGAAATAGAAAATAAATTAATTCATTAAAAACTATATATATTTACATTCACTGTTGAAATAGTGCTCAATACATGAATTGTAGAGCGATATAGAAACATGTTATTCAGAGTTTCACGCTATGCGAATGTTATTCTTTCAGATTTGTTGGCTCTCTGAAAAAATATCGAATTAGTATCAGTTATTTGGGAAGAATGGACTTGTCGTCATAGCCATACATATTTAAGTATTCATAATACGTTTAACAAAATAAAATAAAATTCATGGCTGTTCTTTCTTCAACAACATGTTTTATGTTTACACGGACACTTGTACTATTCCAAATTCTTAGAAGTTTTTATCCTTCACCTTCTACTTTTCTGCACTTGATTGGGCTAATAAAGTCTCTTTTAAAAGTAAAGGTTCCGCAATATATTGTCTCGAGACGCCTTCCCCAATCTTCCATCCTCCTCCATCAATGTAAATAGTTCCATGTCATTACTTGTAGACATCAGACAGTAGCAGGAGATTACTTAGAGAGAAAATGTAGATCTAGAAACGTGCCGAGATAAAACAAAAAATTCTGGCTGACATTTATGGTAATCATATTGTAATGATTTGATCTATAGATTAATTAATACCAGAATTCTTACAACAATAATTCACCATTGATTGAATCTTACAAATCTTACATCACAATACATTTCCTACCTAATGATTTTCTCTACATTGAGAACGGCACATATGGTGGCATTCAAATGCTTAGAATCAATCATTTTCCATCCATTAGTGATTAAAGGTATATGTACATTTACTTATTTATATTGTCCTTGAGAACATCGGTTATAATTTGAATAGATGGTAAAACAGATACGTTGGATAAATCGAATAAAATCCAAATATCTTGTTCTGTTCATTCTTGATTATCGATATAATATTTATTCAATGATAAAACATTTTAGACTATTCATCAATATAAACTATATAGACCTACTCATCATTATAGTTTTATGTATTTATCAATACAATTTTTGACCTATTAATCAATATAATTTATTGACCTATTTATCAATACAATTTTTGACCTATTAATCAATATAATTTATTGACCTATTTATCAATATAAGTTTTTATCTTAATCTGATATATTGACCTTTTTAATGCACTGGCTTGAATGAACCTTTTTATCAATGTTATTATCTATTTATGAAAACCATTTATCATTATAAATCCGTTGACCTATTTATTATTATAATTGTATTGGCCTATTTATCATTATAAATGTGTGGAACTATTTATCAAAATAAATATTTGAATTATTTATCAATGCATTGACCTACTTATATATTGGATTGAGCTTTTTTAATCATTATTCTGCACTGATCTCTTTATCAAAATAATTTATCGGCATATTCATCAATATAATTCATCGACTTATTTATCATTCTAAATGTATTGACTTCTTTATCATTACAAATATATCAATTCATTTATCAATGCATCGACCTATCAATATAATGGATTGACCTATTTATCATTATAATTGTAGTCTAACTACTAACTATATTTGAACTATTTATCAAAGAAATGTATTGACGTATTTATCAATTTAATTTGATGACATGTTTATCAATATACTTTAATGACATATTAACCATTATAATTTTTCTTTAACCTATTTATCATTATAATGGATTGACCTATATATCAGTATAATCTAACGACCTATTTATCAATATAATGGATTGTCCTATTTATTAATATCATGACTTCCTTGAGTGGCATTTAGTAATTGATGATATTAACACGAACACAATTATATGGATAACAATTACTTTAATAAATAACTTGCGACGTTTCGACGATGATTCTTTCGTCTTCGTCGCAAGTTATTTATTAAAGTAATTGTTATCCATATAATTGTGTTCGTGTTATTAATATCATGGATGGGTGTACTCGGTATTTGTGCGCTAAAGACCTATTTATCAGTATACAACACTGATGTATTACGTAAGACACGCTGATCTTTTACCATTAATAACTGGCTGACACTGTTCATGAATATGTATGAATATGTATGAGTATGTATAGACTATGGATCTTTAAAATCGTATCGATTGACTGGTTTATTTACCTGTTTCCAGACGGTTGTTAATGATTATATCATTCACGTCGTTTCCCTGCAATTGCTTCATCGATCTATAGATCATTAGAAGTAGCATGAAGTATTAGGGTTCAATATCGAAATTAACCGGTGACTAGTGTATCCATTGTATTTGCAACACTTGTCAGTATGTTCCACTGTATGTTACAGACCACATAATACAGTCATTTATCATCTAGAGTCATTAGAACTCAACATTTCGATCTTTAAAACGATTAATGTGATTAAAAGTAAAAACATGTACATGTACCACAGGAAATTAAGATGTATAGTTTTATTGATTGAGCCTTACACTGTAAGAAATTTTCTATGAAAAATCGAATTTATAGAAGGTAGCAACAATATTGTCTAATTGCTTACAAAAAAACCCAAAATAAAGATGTCTTTTGAAGCAACAAAACATAATAATACAATTTATGAAATAAATGATTCATCTTTATAATTTTGGAGGAATTCTTGATGTTAAGGAATTTTGCATCCTACTACCTTTTGCCTTGAATATGTTTATATGGAATACGTTCAACGTTTATAATGATTTCATTGTTCTGGTGATAAACAATTTTATTTTAATAAGAAAAAAGAAATTGACTGCATATGATAAATGTTGATGTATTCAGAGAACACAAATGGTTCATGCTGTTACAAATTCAGCAGAATACACTCTGTATTTCTCGTTTCAGTTGGCAGCAATAAAGATACAAGTTTTCAAAAGATTTTTACAGTGTAGTTGTTATTTGTATTGATATTTTATGTTGAACTATAGATTGTAATAGACTCATTGTTAGTCACATAATGATTTCATTCTCGAACATCAATGCCTGAATAGATGACCTTCGTTCAATAAATTACATACTAGACTAATTGATGGGATTGAATTAAAGACCAAAAGGCTTTTGATTCTTTGATTCCTGGCAAAGTACCAAGAACTTTGAGTTCAATTTCCTTTAGTTTTTGAAGTATCTACTTAACATTGTAAACAAATCAAATCTACAATAAACAAACCAAATATTGTAAACTAATCAAATATTGTAAACAAATCAAATATTGTAAACAAATGCAATTTTGTAAACAATTTCAAGAGTAAATAAATCGAATCTATAGTAAACAAATAAAATACTATTCATGTAAAGAACTCAAAACTCATAAACACATAAAAACAATAGTAGACACAGTAAACAAATCAAATAGTAAACAAATCAAATATTGTAAACAAATCAAATCTACAGTAAATAAATCAGATCTTGTAAACAAATCAAATAGTGTTAACAAAACCAATCTATAGTAAATAAATCAAATATTGTAAACAAATCAAATCTACAGTAAATAAATCAGATCTTGTAAACAAATCAAATAGTGTTAACAAAACCAATCTATAGTAAATAAATCAACTATTGTAAACAAATCAAATCTACAGTAAATAAATCAAATATTGTAAACAAATTCAATTTACAGTAAATAAATCAAATACAGTAAATGAATCAAATATTGTAAACAAATCAAATATTGTAACAAACCAAATATTGTAAACAAATCAAATCTACACTAAAAAAATCAAATACAGTATATGAATCAAATATTGTAAACAAATCCAATCTACAGTAAATAAATCAAATATTGTAAATAAATCAAATATTGTAAACATATCAAATATTGTAAACAAATCAAATCTACGGTAAATAAATTAGACCTTTAAAACAAATCAAATCTATAGTTAACAAAGCCCATTCATATATACAAATCAAACATATCTAAAAAAAAAACAAAAACCTATGTAAAACAATCAAAATTTGTAAGCACTAAATGGTTTGGCAATGAGCTAAGAAAGGAAAATGACATAATAATATAACGAACGAGTAGTTCAGTTTGGAAAAGGTTAGGGAATGTTTCGGTATCATCTACTGGACGAGTTGTCTTGTTGCGACAGTTCTCGAAATTGCAAAAACAACATTTAAATATAGGCTAGTCTCTACAATTCGTAATGTCACAATAACCGAGAATATGAATAAATCTAATATTATCATTAATTTTTCTCTTAAATCTCACAGAAATTACATCAGAAATAGTTCTTTGTAATTTTATCGATGATGCGTTAAAACATTCAAATCGTCTCTTCATCTTCTTTTGTCCAACATCAACTTCATCGTGTTTCAAAAGGGAGATAATTTCTCTGTCTAAATTGCCAATTGTTTGAAGTTAATCATTCTGAACATATTGGAACGCTTTGAAATATAAGTCTGGTATTTATTCAATATGAGTAATAATGTACATTCTGTACGATCCGACATGTTTCTAGCTGCAATTAGTCTATATGTGATATTTGTGAAGATTACACCATTTGTCGATTTCGTGGAAAGACATACTCCGAGGCAATGAATATGATGTTTTGATATTGTCTATGCAAATGGAAATTTGCGAATACACCCACAATTTAAGATGGGTTCCGTAATTTTCGCGTAAGAAAATGAAATGCCAATACTTATATGAATAGAAAGTAGAGGCGTTTTAATGACTTAAGACAGATACCAGTTCGTCTCGCATGTCCATAATTAATTCATAATTAGCTACATTACAAGAGAATTACCTGCAGAATTCCAATGAGTGACCGATCAAGAAAGGTCAAAAGTTTTTTTTTTAGTTTATCAAGACTGTACATACTTGGACATTATGACTGGTTAAAACTCTTATTTATATGCAATAAGAAAATAATGATATGATATGAAATAGTTTGCTTAATTTGACACTAAAAAGAAAGAAACCCGTCTTTAAACTAGTTTTTTTCTTCGATTTATTCAGTAAAATATATTTTGTCAAGACTTTCAACTGGAATTTGGTTATTTTTACTGATCTCGGGTATTATATCCTTCAACTAAGCTAAGCGGTTACTGATGATATGCCTAATTAGTCTGGGACTCCTATTTTCCCCATTGTATATTTGCAAACTTTAATTATTGACGCCCTTTCGTTTCTGCTCTTTAATATTTGTCAATTTGTCAAATTGCCTGGAATGGCAATTATATTTCTTGAAACAGCATATAAGATGTTCTCTAGTCTCAAAAATAAAAAAATATTATAACTTGACAAATATAGTGGTTTAAAAAGCATTTATCACTCTAACATAAGCTTATTTCGTCCCTAGAAAACGATGTTACAAATTAAGAATTATTTGTGAAATTGAATGATTATATTTGAAAAGGTTATATCTCATGAGAATGTTAATTTATAAAGAAATTAGTAAGTAATATATATAGTTTAACTCTCCTCTGAATCATACAGTTGGATACCTTGTCACCTTTCTTAATGAGTTTAATTGAAGACAGTCGCTAAAGTAAAGGATCTACAAATTGTCACGTTAGCAGCTGTTAGACTCCAACAGTCCATTAGACTTCCGGTGTTAGAATTTCTTGACCTCGTCTCATTACGTGTTTCAGAACAAAACTTAGACAAGATGTCTAAAAGAAAGCTTTTTATAATGGCTTGCAACAGTGATTTATGATCAGAAGATTATTATCAAAAAACTTTTTAAAGTTGCTAAAAGGCACTATACTGTCTTGCCTCATTGAATTTTTGCGTCCACCAAAAGGAATTGACAAGAGATTTGTCTGAAAATTTTATGTATACTAGGGACACTGATAGTATCAATTTGATCATTCCAGATTTTAATCGATACAAAGTGATCGAATGCTAATTACTTTTTTATGCTACTGTAAGTGATTTCGAGAGTGGATAGATATTAATCCTTTCTATATATACTGTATAGTAAATATACAAACCATGGCAGCTGTTGATGTTCGAGGATGTTCTAAAATTAACCAGATCTTCGTCCGCCATTTCTGCCAGCCGTCTAATCCAGTGAGATTAACGATAACATTCTCCTTTAATAAACTGTTATTGAAGGACTCCAATATTCGCTGATTGTCTATATAAGATCTGTAATGTCGCCAACAACACGCTTTTATCTGAAATTGGTTAATCTGCCAGAAATCTAACTCTCTTTTCACTACAGCACCACAAACTTCTAATGGCACATGAAGTTCCCCTGAAAAGAACAATGCAAAAATTGGTTATAGAGATCACATTGTGTAATTATAAGCGCCCTTCTGGAACACTTGATAAAAATAGGTAAAGAAAAGGGCACGTTTAAATTGCATTCAATTATTCTATTGTCAAATTATATCATGTGCAAGTACATTTACTAGAAGACATAACATTTCAAGGTACCATATAATACCTTCGGATTTTTCAACCCGGTTTCCCCATGTCAGTGATGCATGTAAGAGGGGCTGACATGGAAAAAGCTTCTGGTCGTTCGGATGGGACAATAAACCGAGGTCCAATGTGCTACAGGCTGTGCACGTTAAAAATCCCTCGACAGTTGGAAATCGAAAAAGAGCAGGCTAGTGCAGCCGTCCTGGCATAATTTCCCTCATTGCACCCTGCATGTCGCTGCCCGTCTTCATTAGCCCACATGGTGCAGAAAAGTAGGACGTAAAATTCCATTCATTTCATTTATTTCAAGGTACCATCAAACCATCTGATTTTTAGTTAGACGGAAGTGGTTGTTAAAAAAATAAATAATTGCAATTACGAAAACACAGATCGAGGAGAAAGGTTCGATTAAGGTCTGGAAGTATGGTCACTTCCACCAAATAACCTCTTCAGTTGAAGCGTCGGGTTTTAACGATTATAAATTTCAACCAGAGTAGTATTGATATGATATATGTAACAAGTTTGTTCAATCAGGTTCCTAAATAATGATCGTTATCACAACTAGCTCATGCTTGAAGAATTAATTTCAAAACGTTGCTTAAATGATTAGTAAATATTCCAACCGCGTTCATTTTGGGAGATATTCTCCCGCAGTTGTTTGAAGTCTGCTGGTCGATCCTCTAGGGGAATGATATATAGTTTTTATCTAATATTCAATTCTCGTTATTTAAATGATATTCAAGCTGAAATACGAGAATTCAACTGATTTTTAATCAGACTTAAATAATCAATTTTCACAAGTTCGTACCGTTTTAATCTTATTCACTATTTCAATACTGAATATATTATGTTTTTAGTTATTTCGTTTAGTAAATACATATTCAATACTGGCTCAAGGATGTGAAGATACGGGGAGGGATAAGGCCGGGGAAGATGGGAGGTTAGAAAATTCAAAATTATAATAATAAACGAATCATTATTGCTTTAAGTCTTAAACATCATTAAGGAGTAGATATGGCATTAAAAAACGGAAGACATTTTTCTTCTGTACAATAGTTTTCCATTTTGTAACGGATTCATGTAATGAACCAAATGCGAAACTACAAGTACGAACAAATGCATAGGTTTAGCAGGTGGAGTTGTGTCTATGCTTATGCTTCCCGTTTATATTATCTTCTATTCTAAGATGTACGTATATAAAAAATACATGTATATAACTTATAGAATGAAGCTAGAGAATGATTTAAGAGATTAAGCCAATTTTAGATTTTACCCAGACTTCATCATTAATCTAAGCTAAAGAATGGATCGAAACGCACACAAAGAAAGTGTCGGTATTATATAACGAACACAGTGTATCTATTTAGTATGCTGAACAACGTTTCAACAATATAAATTGCTGTCATCAAGTCAAAAATGAGAAAACATGTCGCCTTAGAATAAGCAGTTGACTTCTCTATATATGAATCATCTGTCTTGTATTTGCATAATCGTAACATATTGCTGTACATAAAATAATGCCTTCTTTTCAAAGGCTTGTCCTACATCCTAAACTAATACAATAATCATACATTTACATGACTTTTACAGAGATTAAGACTATTCGGTGTTTCTAAGCGTTTAACCTTAAATATCGGTCCCCAGTCGGAAAGAGCAATCACTTTCCCTCTTGCATCAACGAAAGGTCGTGCAGCAGTGAATTTGGAAGGGCCACCGCCAACTTTCTTCCATTAGCTTAGGTTTATTTCAGATAATTTGAATATAGAATGAGACATGGAACAATAAATGCATGCCATGTTTTAATGTTGTTCTATGACTACCTCAGTGTACTTTTTCAGTCTACCATTCCCATTACTATACAAATACATGTAACGGTTTACAATATTGATTATCCCGTTCCATATCTACCGAGAACAATTGAATATCTATATACATTTATTTACTAAAAGCATGCAAATATGAGATCGACACACTCGTGGGACTGTTACAAGAACAATCAATCATCATGTATAGCCTGAATAGTTTTTAGAAAGCCATCAGAATAACGTAATATCATTTATTATAGTTACACCATGCAATATATAGGAAGTTCCATTGCGATCACACTATTGTTTAAATCAAGATGACGGGTCCAGTCGTAAATTTTGTGACCTACTGCGACCAAATTAACGGCTGAAACAGGGTTTTATATATATAACATAGTGTCATATATAATTTAATAGTTCGGTAGTTATTAAGAGTGTCAAAATGAAAATGGTTAATTTAGAAATAAGGCTCCCATATAACAACAGAGAACCCTCAGAAAAGGAACTAAATCAGGGATTGAAGATGCCATTTGTTTCGTAGATGTAACTTTATTGTGATACCCAGTTTTATCTCTCATTAAATTGTGACATTATCTTGACATTATTTATTTTTATTTTAATCTCAGTCTATAGATACCTTTATGAAATAACTAGGTTAATCTAGATTATCCAGTGATAAAAGATTGTATTGAGGATCTATTGGTCTTAATTAAGATTATTTATCAATTATATATATAGTAGGCACACTATAGACTAGGTAATTAACAATACACGAAGTTCCCTTGATGATCACAAAACCCACTAATAACATCTAATAAAACTCGATATGGGAATATGGTTATGTATGTTGTTATTATGTATTGCTTACTGGACTGATTGATTTCTTAACATCTGTACTTGAAGTATTCAATCAATCTGAGTAAGCAATATTTATTGGCATCATTTTGGCTTGGCATAAACCGAATGATTTGAAAATATCTTAAATAAAGTTTATCTTATGCAATGAGGCACATAAACCTTGAACATTGGAAATACCATGTACCATTCTACATCTGAAGATCGATCGCAGAGACCACATCACATGGTATTAATGTCTCAGTAGTTGATTATTATTGAATTCGATTCTGTCGAAGGCGGGCTCATTTTTACCCTTCGACGGAATGTCCAAAATTGCTTTAAATTAAACTGTCTTTTGTTAGTGAGGTCGTGGTTGGACATCCATTGTACTGCGGGTTGGTTGGTGTCCCTTGTACTTGGAACATTTTTCTCTCAATAAGGTTCAGTTCTCAGCAGTCCAACCGTTATTTTAGCAATAATTGACATCAGAGGTTGTATGCAGACGTAGTGCCAACTTTTAAAGTTTAATATAACGTTCGTTTTTCATTTTGGTGCCAAGTCAGTGATGGTATCTTGCTGGTTTCAGGTTGTAGAACTAGTAGAACTGGACAGCACCCATTGACCATTCTCTCCCGTGGACAACTGGTTGTGTGAATGTTATTATATCTTGAATACTCCAAGAATAGGTATTTGACTAAGTTTGCCAACATTTGGACTATGACATGGTGAAACAGTATTTGCCAGCTGATATTAAAACGAACTTTAAGTGCAAACTCGTCAGTTGTGAATGAGAATGACAAGATTTGTACCTAAATTCCCCCCGTGTTGTTCAGTTAGCTATTAATATCTGAAATCAGACTTGGCATTTCCTAGAATGCATCGCTATCGGAATTTCAATTCCTATCAAGTGGAAAAATATCCAGAATGTTCCGGCAAGTAAATTAACCGAGTTTTAAGTGAATATCGAAATCAGTGTCGAGGCTAAATGGTGGTTGATCACAGTTCCTCTATCAATTATTAAGAGAAAAATGGAATTTGTTAACGCATGGTAGAAACATTAACACATATTAGGTGATTTAGTGTCTACTTCTAGTGTCTTTTAGTTTTTACTATTGTTACAATAAGTAATAATGGTCCCACGACACAACTCAATTATTATACCACTTGGATGATTTTTTACCGCCACATTTATTTATTCCAGACCTTTTAATCTACAAATTGAGTGCTAATCTAAAAATGAACGAGGGAACGTACTGACCCACGGTTACATCTGGGTTCCTTCCAGGTTACACCAGTTGGCCCTTTAACCGACCCCCTTGACAATAATCCCTCTACGATTTTATATCCTCATCAAGGAGATCAACGGGGAAAGGTACCCAGGCCCCAAACCTTCAGAATCCCTCGTAAAATCTTAACGTTATACATGTAGTCATTTAAAATCACAAATTTAAGAACATCGTAGGAGGTGGAAAACGTAAACTTGGTGTAAAAAGTTCAATAATCGTATTCGTATACGTTGGAAAACACAAAACGTATTTCCTAAAGATTATGTTTAAATTACTTCTTCATCAACGTAAACCTTGATAGTCGATATTTATTATTTATCAAACCCAAGAAGCACCAAAATGAATTCAATTAGCCTACTCTGTGTTTTTTAGGGAATGTTAAAACTTTGTAACGTCTTAACGTCGCCTATGATTTATAAACGTGTTATTGAAGTTGGTTGTATAGCAACAGATTCTATTCTCTAGAGGCTAGATTTGATATCTGTCAAATTGTATTGATAAAACCCTCGAGATTTCATTCTGGCTTTTAAACTAAAGAACGTGTTAAATAATCTTTTACAGTATTTTTACACTCAAATTGATGCTCATCTCATGAATAAACGATCTCAAATTTCTCGCACGGTTGGTGAAGAACGTTTGTTAATATAGTTTAGTTAGAAGCAGTGTCAGACTTAACTGCGGAAAAATCTAGGAAACGTCATTGTAGGCTGCCCCTCATCCATGATCAAGTTCTTATTCTTAAAGTTCTTGGACATTGTAGTTTTAACATCAACCAAGCATCCAGTTTCAATTAATAAGATACAGATCAATTTAAAATTTCAAACTTCCTGTACAAATACAAAGTATATCTGAGTATATGTCCCATTCTTATGTACTTAATTCTTGGTTCCAATCACGATTAG